TATAGATAAGCTGGCCACATTATTAGAGCAGTGGTTATCTCTTTCAAGAGAGGTGCTATCCCTCTCTCTCAAGAGAACGCCAGAGAGAGCTGCCTGCGTGCAGCGAAGCTCAGTCTCGATCGAACCAGAAAGTGAAGACGACGTGTGTGGAGATAAATAAATTAAAATAAAGAGACAAACTATTCCTGATACAATCTCAGAAGTGGGATTCATAAAAAACTTTTTTTTTATCAACTGAGAACGCCTATAATAATAAAAATATGGATATAAACATATCGGAAGTGACAGTTATCCAATTAAAAAAGTGGTTGGAGCTTCTAAATCTGTCGACGAAGGGCACCAAATCTGAACTTTTTGCTCGGCTTTGCAGCGTTCCGGAAGAAATTCGCGGAAGGGCGCCCGAGAACCTTGTGGAGCAAGCTGAATTGGAAAATGTTGACGAGAATCGCAGTGAGCTGGAAGTTGACGCTGAGACTTTGGAAAATTTGCGAGCCGAAATTTCGAGGGCTCAGAAAATTCTAGAAAACTTAAACTACCAGATCAACAGCGCTGGTGGCAACCGAAATAACGGAGGCAGAGGAGGCGAAAATGCGTTTCAACAGAACGAGCAACGGCGAAACAGCGGAGGCGGCGGAGACGAAAATGCGTTTCGGCAGAACGAGCAACGGCGAAACAGCGGAGGCGGCGGAGACGAAATTGCGTTTCAGCAAAACAACGGCGGCAGAGACGGCGGCGGCAGAGACAACGGCGGCAGAGACAACGGCGGCAGAGACAACGGCGGCAGAGACAACGGCGGCAGAGACAACGGCGACAGAGACGGCGACGGCAGAGACAGCGGTGGCAGAGAAGGCGGTGGCAGAGAAGGCGGTGGCAGAGAAGGCAGAGACGACGGCAGGCAGAGGCAGCGCCGTTTATGACGAAATCATCAGGATTTAACATGGCCAAGGAAATGTTGATGGACTTCACCGGTAAAGTGCCTGTTCGATCCTGGATCGCTCAATGGGGCAATATATCGGCTCTATATAGCCTTTCAGACTTGCAACAACGTATCTTGCTGATCAGCAAGTTAAAAGGCAGTGCCTTGCAGTGGTTGCATGCGGATGAAGGACGTTTCGCCAAGCCAACGAATGAGCTGCTTGAACAACTGCAGCTAGCTTTCGGGGGCGTCGAATCGAAGGCTGCATTAAGGCGCAAGTTTGAGGCGCGTATCTGGATGCCAACCGAAAAATTTGCTTTTTACTTTGATGAAAAGTGTCGACTTGCTCGAGAGGTCAGCATGGAGGTGGATGAGCTTTTGGACGGACTTGTGGAGGGCATTCCAGCCCTAGGCTTGCGTACACAGGCCAAGCTTCAATGTTTTGATAGCCCGGAGCGTATGCTTCGTGCTTTTGCGGACATCATGCTGCCGAAAAGGGCAACAACAACTAGAGAGGCAACACCAAGGACGGATCCAGGAAACAGCGAGACACGTTGTTTCAACTGCAACGCAAAAGGGCACTGGAAGAGGGAATGCACCAAGCCGATAAGACCGCCAGGATCATGCTATGGTTGTGGCGCAAAAGATCACCGCTTGGTTGAATGTCCCCAAAACAAGAAGAAGGTCGAGAATAAATATGTAAGATTATTTAAAATTTTTAGTATTGAAAATCCTAACCAGCCCATTGTTACAGAATGCCTAATAGATTCGGGAAGCCCGGTGTCATTAATAAAACGTTCATACTTACCAGTAAACATTAAATTAAAACCTCAAGAAGAGGAATACTTTGGCCTAAACAAAAGCTTATTAAGGAGTTATGGTAGAATATTATGTTTTATATTTAAAAATGAAATAAAGATTTGGTTTAACTTAATTGTAGTGGCTGACGAATCTATGGGATGTAACATTGTGCTGGGTAGAGATTTTATGGATGCTTGCGATTTAAAAATTGATTTAGATGCGCTGAAAATGGTTACTGTAGAGTGTATTGAAACCGAAGTCGAGAAGAAAGCGGAAGATAAAGTACTTTCTAATAATTGTATGGAAATTAGGAAATTTGAAACCGATTCGGAGGGTAAAGAGAGTTTAGGTAAAAGTTTAGGTACAAAATTAGGTGAAAAGAGTTTAGGTACAAAGTTAGGTAAAAAGAGTTTAGGCAAGAAAAATGTAGGTACAAGTTTAGTGGAGGAAAATTTAGCCAATCGTTTAGGGGACAACAATTTAGGTACATCTTTAGGTGAAAAGAGTTTAGGTGAGAAGTTTAGATAAAAACAGTTCAGGTAAAAATTTAGGCGAGAACAATTTAGATACACATTTAGGTGGAAAAAGTTTAGATAAAAACAGTTTAGGTAAAAATTTAGACGGGAACAATTTAGGTACAGATTTAGGGGAGAAGAGTTTTGACATATGTTTAGGCGATGATGATTTAGGTGAGAAGGATTTAGATAATGTATTGTATGAAGAAGCTTTAGGTTCAGGTAGGTTAGGAAAGAGCATAGAGGATAATTTTGAAAGTGAAATGTTAGAAATAAACATTTTAGAAGATGAGACTAAAGAAATGGCTTACAATATCGGCGATCAGGTTAGTTATAAGGATCAAATGAAGTTTATTGAATCGTTAGAGGAAAATTATATTAAAGTATTGCGACCTGAAAGTCCTAAAGTTAAATGTGAGTTGAATATTATTTTAGAGAACACAAAACCATTTAGTTGTGCACCTAGAAGACTGTCTTATAATGAAAAAGAGGCATTACAGAAATTGTTAGATGAATACTTAGAAAAAGGAATTATTCAGAGTAGTAAATCGGAATACGCATCTCCGATCGTTTTAGTGAAGAAAAAGACTGGGGAGTTTAGGTTGTGCATTGATTTCAGACGGTTGAATAAAATTATGGCTAAAGATAATTATCCTATCCCCTTAATTGACGATTTGTTAGATAAATTGGTGGGAAAATCGGTTTTTACAAAATTAGATTTAAAGAATGGGTACTTCCACGTTTTCGTGAACAAAGAGTCAGTGAAGTACACATCTTTTACAACGCCGCTAGGGCAATTTGAGTTTTTGAATGCCAATGGGTTTGAAGACGGCTCCCCAGGTATTTCAAAGATTTGTAAATGATATTTTTTCTGATATGATTCGTGATAATAAGGTGATAATATATATGGATGACATTTTAATTGCAAGCCAGAGTATTGAAGAACATTTAGGAATATTAGTAGAAGTATTTAGGAGATTAGTGGAGAATAAATTAGAACTAAGAATGGATAAATGCAAGTTTCTTCAAAATAAGGTAAAATATTTAGGTTTTCTAATTTCAAATGAAGGAATAAAAGCTGATGAGAGGGGATTAGAAGCGATAAAGAGCTTTCCTATGCCAAATAAAGTGCAAGCTGTACAAAGTTTCTTAGGTCTTTGTTCTTACTTTCGCCGCTTTATAAAGGACTTTTCGATATTGGCGAAACCATTATATGATTTACTGAGGAAAGATAGGACGTTTGAATTTGGAAATGAAGAGTTAGCCTGTTTCACACTGTTGAAAGATAAATTAGTTGCAGCCCCGGTGTTAGCGTTATACGATTACAAGGATGAAATTGAGCTCCACTGCGATGCGAGTGCTTTAGGGTTTGGGGCTGTACTGTTTCAGAGAAAGGAAGACAAGAAGTTGCATCCGATTTTTTATTTTTCGAAAAGATCAACATCGACTGAAGCTAAATACCATAGCTTTGAATTAGAGACGTTAGCCATTATTTATGCACTTAGAAGGTTTAGGATATATTTACAAGGGAAACGTTTCAAGATTGTTACAGATTGTAATTCTCTAACATTAACGTTGAATAAAATAGATTTAAACCCACGAATTGCAAGGTGGGCTTTAGAATTACAAGAATTCGATTATGAATTAAAACACAGGGCAGGAAAACAAATGCAGCATGTTGATGCACTTAGCAGATGTAATAATGTAATGATAATAGAGGCAAATACGTTTGAGAATAATTTGGTAATTTGTCAGTCAAGAGATAGTAAGGTACAAGAAATTAGGGAAATTTTAGAAAACGGAGAGCATAAGTGGTTTGAAATGAGGAACGGGGTTATATATAGAAAGAATAATAATAACAAGTTACTGTTTTATGTAACAAATAGAATGGAGGAACACGTGATGTATAAATATCATGACGAATTAGGTCACATTGGAAGGGATAAGATGTTAGATGCGATTAGTAAAAGTTATTGGTTCCCGGGCATGAAACAAAAGGTTTGTGATCACATTCAGAACTGTTTGAAGTGTATAGCTTTCTCTCCTAAATTAGGCAAAGGAGAGGGAGCGCTGCACAGTATCCCCAAAGGGAATAGACCATTTGATGTTATTCATATTGATCACTATGGGCCAGTAGATAATAGTAGAGTAAAAAAGCATATCTTAGTGGTAATAGATGCATTCACGAAGTTTGTTAGGCTTTATACAACAAAAACAACGAATACAAAAGAAGTTATGAGTGCTTTAACAGACTACTTTCGGTCATACAGCAGACCAAAGTGTATTATTTCGGATCGGGGGAGTTGTTTTACGTCAACGGATTTTACAAACTTTACTGAGGAAAGAAACATAAAACACATTAAAATTGCTACAGGGTCACCACAGGCTAATGGGCAAGTTGAGCGAGTAAATAGGAGTTTGGGGCCGATGATTGCAAAACTATCGGAACCAGAGAGAGGATTACATTGGGATGTAATTATTGAAAAAGTGGAGTACTCGTTAAACAATACACTTCATAGCAGCATCAAACAGCTTCCCAGTGAAACCTTATTTGGAATAGCTCAGAGAGGAGAAAATAGTGATGAATTAAAGGAAAAATTAGAAGAGGAAGAAAAGATTGAGGATAATAGACAAAATTTAGAACAGATTAGGCAGAACGCAGAAGAAAACCAAATAAAATCTCAAACAAAAAACGAAGCCTATTATAATGCGAAAAGGAAGATTAATACAGAATATAGAGAAGGAGATTATGTCATGGTAAAGAATTTTGATAGTACTGCAGGGGTTTCGAGAAAGCTTATACCGAAGCACAAAGGACCATACATTATTGGGAAAGTTTTAAGAAATGACAGATTTTTATTAAAGGACATCGACGGGTTTCAGTTATCTCGGAATCCATACCAAGGTGTTTGGAGCGCAAGTAATATTCGGCATTGGATAAAAGATGAAAATAAATCTTAATCAATTAAATAGAATAAAAATACTGATAATAAGACTTCTAAGACTTAGCTTAAGATATGTTGTAACGCCGAGATAGTGGGCTATCTCAAAGCCAGGATGGCCGAGTTGTAACAGGCCAAGTATAATATAGATAAGCTGGCCACATTATTAGAGCAGTGGTTATCTCTTTCAAGAGAGGTGCTATCCCTCTCTCTCAAGAGAACGCCAGAGAGAGCTGCCTGCGTGCAGCGAAGCTCAGTCTCGATCGAACCAGAAAGTGAAGACGACGTGTGTGGAGATAAATAAATTAAAATAAAGAGACAAACT